ATTTGTCTTCCTTTTAGAACTTTGATTTAAAAAATAACATGTATATGAATCTCTTCCAATGGACAAGTATTCGAATTAACGTTTTCGTTTCTTGTATTAAATATGCTAATGCTGTATTATGTACAGTCAGACCTTTTTAAATACAATGCGACAGGACCATGTGTAAAAATTTAGCCAAATGTACACTTAGAGTGGTATTGCATTTAGGGGGTAAAAATCTATAGGTATATTTGTTTTCCCAAGAGAAGACGTGTATTTAGGGAAGCTTTTCATAGAACGTGCACTTAGGGTGTTGCATTTAGAGGGTCTGACTGTATTGGCATTTTATGTAAGCAGAAACAAATAAGATATTTAATTAAACGCTCACATATATATCATCGTACAACCATGCTATTACTACCAGTTTTTGATCATTTTTTTTGTGTTTTTTCTTTTTTTGTGTAATAAAGCAATATTACTTAGAGAAAAGGTCTTGTAACTAGAATTGTAGGTGAAACTAATCTTTAATGGTGCAACAATTTTCACCAATAACCAATCAACATTAGTGACTGGTGATACTGGTGGTATACGTATTACAGTATTATACATAGTAACCGCATAAAAATTCGCAAAATTTCATTGGTTGCAGATCGTCAACGCATTTTTTGATTAAAAATTATGTTAGAGTAAGGGTGTATTCAGACGACATTATGAGGAGCCTCATATATGGTAAAATTTTACAAGGAATTTTTTTTGTTAATGTGCACAAAAAACGCGCTGCAAATCTTCGATTTTGATTGGCTAAGAGCGAAATTAGACTAGAATTACACATAATTTTACTAATGAAATAGCGGCCGCTGTCACGAGAATTTTTTTAACAATTAATCGTTGCTTCATAATCATCCGATGGGAATATCCATGATAACATTTTATTGTAATAATTCGTTAACAGAATATTCTACATTTCTTTGGTTAATAATACATTGTAACGAAATCGAGAATGTTGTAAATATATAAAAGTAATCTATCATAAATAAAATGGGAAATAGTCTAATAAATAGTGAAAGGACAAGTTGGTTATGCATATAATCCGAATACCTTTAATGATTATACTATCCTTAATTCCCAACCATCATTAAACCCGAATCTCTTATAAAATATTTGTTGTGCATAATCTATGCAATGCCAAAGCTAATCTTCACAAACTCTCCCAAATCTGGGCATTACACTGTCTATTAGTGAAATTGTTCCTGGGCCAATTTTACCATAATGCGGGCTTATTTTTTAAAAATTTATTTTTGTAATGAAAAAATTAAAAAGTTAATTCCGGCCAGAAATTAGTAAATAATTATATAATATGGGCCAAAATTTTGAAGACCCTCGGCCATTAGTGAATCAAAATTGAGGACCTGCTACACATTTTTGTGCAGCATCTAGGTTCAGTTGGTTTTATAATCAAAATTTTGTGTTATTGACGATTTTTTGAAAAAGCTGGCAGTTTGTTTTGTTTTCACATTATACCTTATTTTGTGTCGTAATTGGTTTAAAGTCATGTGTCCGTAGATATTTTATGCGGCTACTATTGATAATTGGTGATATTGTGAAACTGGTAGTGTTGGTGAAACTGATAACTTTTGTGGGATCTCTTGCAGTATAGGTGAGACTATTAATAAAAGTATAATCAATTGATTTAGAATAGGTATCACCTATATTGCAAGAGATCCCTTTTGTGAAACTGCTGATGAGGTTCGTGCGGGTGAAACTAATTTCAATAGTATTCTAATTTACACAAATCATCAATCAACATTGGTGAAACTGGTAATACTGGTGGTATTGCTGAAGCTGGTAATATTGGTGAAACTGATGATATTGGTGAAACTGATGATAAGTATTCTGAGGTTTGGGTTCAAATCGAACCAGGTTTACTGACCTTGAATCTGAGCTTGAACTAAAATTTTGCGGATCGTGAATCTGAATCTAAACTTGAACATAAAATTGCCAAACCTGAATAAGCTCGAACACAGGGACCTATAAAATTAGCCTTTCGTTTGTAATTTATCAATAAACTATATTATCTGATTATTATAAACACAATATTCAAAATATATATATATAGTATATAATAATTTATTTTTATAATATATAGCAAAATATTTAAATCAAAAAAAAGCTTTATATGTAAGCAAAAATGGTCAATCGCTTCTATTTGTTAATACTGATTGAGAGTTTTAAAGGAATGCACATTGATATTGTTAGAGGGTTTTTTTAATTTTACATATCGATGCTGTATGTAATCTAATTAAAATTGTTCTACTCTATCCCTACTTTGACTTGCGTTCATTGTTTATTTCAATGTCGATTAATTTACAGCTTTTTTACTCACCGATTAAGTCTTAGCACCCTGCTCTCAGATCGCTTAGCTTGTCATCTAAGAGAGATAAAAAAAAAAAAACCAGCAATTGTAGTACGAAATTTGAAGTGATAAACCAAATAAAATTATACTGTAAATTCAAATGGAATTTTTAGTATAAAAAATAGATACGATGAATTAAGCTTCACTCTTTAAAAAGAATGCGTATTGTTCTTAAAATTTGTGATTTCAGTTTTAAAAAAAACTTAAAATTTTTTCTAATAACAATAAATATTTAGGCAAAATTTAGGTTAAATTTAATAAATTTTAGATAAATTTTAATTTAATTTAATAAATTTTAGATAATTTTTGATTTAAATATAGAAAAATTTTATAAGTTCATTTTTTTGGTTTATTAAAGCACTTAGTAATTTAGTATTCAAATTTTACTAATCGGTTTAAAAAATATTATTATGTAAAATATAAAATTAGAAATCAATCACGCTAAAACATATAAATTTATATCTCTATAGCATTAATATTTAATACAAACTAGTTATATACTATATGCTTAGAAGTTAAATAAGTTAAGTTTGTATAAAATTTTTATTAAAAATAAAATACATATTACTAGAAATAAGTAAATTAAATATTTTTTGAATCTACTACACAAGCCCACATTAAAATAGTTTACTGCTAATACAGGCCAGAATTGTAAAATTTCAAAATATTTCAAAATTCTAAATATTCTACCTGTATAGCATCCCATTTTTACATATTATAAACTATAATATAATATAAAAATTTTTAGAAAATTTTAGTTAAAAAGTTAATAATTTTAAATATAAATTTTCTAAAATTTAAAAATTTTAGAAATTTTGAGGTAATACTTAAAATTTAAAGTTATTGTAAAAATTTTACAGGTTCCTGCTTAAACATGATTATTAATTTAGTTTAGGTTTAGTTCAATGCTTATAAACAAGTTCATGTTTAGGCTCTATATAATTATTAATACTTTCCTTTCTTACTATTTTGCTCTTTACTAATATTTACTTTTTAATATTTAATTTTTTTCAATATTTACATTCTTTGATATTTGCTTTTTCTCAATATTATATTTATCTTTCTTGTTATTTTATTACTCCTTTGTATTTTTTATATACTGTAATAATAAAAAGTTATTAATTTGTATTAGTAATTATAGTGATTTCTATTGTGAGTAATTATAAAAACAAATTCATTTTACATAATAAGTATTTATAGCTGGTTTTAATAAAATTATCTTGATTTCTATGGTGAATTACTGTAAAAAAATTTCTTACAAAACTTGTCACTATTTTGATATCATTATATGTGGTTTAAGGTTGAGTTAGTTTGCATTGTATTATTACGATTTATATTGTGAGTTACTGTAAAACTCTGTTACAAACCATTAAATAACTGTCATGTGACAAAACATATTTATATTCTCATGAAATCAAATTCGTTAATTTTCAGTAACTACGGCTACATAATGCGCATAATCAAACCTTATTTTCCTATTAGAATAAGCCACTATTACATTTATATGATTACTAGTGATTATTTGCATAAATCTAATGTGCTCATGTAATATACAATCAATACGATAGTCGTAAGGATTTGGTGCTGCTTAAATATTGTCGAGAATGACGGATGATGCTGAAATTTCGAGCTATTTTATTATGAAATTTTAAAAAATCTTCGGGCCTTTTTGTCAGGTTTTTTTTTTAGGGTTAGGTTAGGGTTTGGGGTTAGAGTTGTTAGTAAAAATATATATGTGAATTTTAGTAGGTATTATAGATTTAAACGGGTACTCTAAATTTCAGCATCAGCCAATTTCAGCATCATCCCCGACAAATATTATAAATTTTACCAATATCTAAGATCGTAGATCAGTTGATTTACATGAAACTATTTTTAAAGGGCAATCCTAAGGTGGAATACATTGGAGCTGTTGAAATTAAACAATACTAGCCAACTCGGCCTATATCAGCTGGGCATTTCACCTTATAAATTGGGCTATAACACTATTAATGGGATCTTCTTAAAGATTGAAAAGTTGGCTAAGCATGGATGCAAATGTCTCGGTCACAGGCAATGCTAGTGGTGTGGTCACGAGTTTGTATTGCGCCGAGATTCACAATAGGAATCCAAATAGAGGTGAGCATGATTTAAATAGATTTCTGCATATGTAACTATTAATCCCTGGATAGGATTATGACAAGAGGATCTAAATTAAAGGTAGAAGGGCAGCTTTGCTACTACGATAAGAGCAGTCAATTCAGTTGAAAGAAGCAGGAATCCAATTCTCTTCCTCCTGGAATTTGACATTTCATAACAATTCTTATATTCTATTATTTTTACGTTGACGGTTGTTCTGGATAATGCAGATAGGAAACCACCGGCTAACGTGATATAGCACAAATTCAACTACACACAATAATAATGCCTGGCACGCTATTCTGGATGCATTCCCAGTTTCAATTATACATA